AGCTGAAGTTTGCATCTGCTCACACCCTAAGCACAAAAATGACAACCAAACAGTAGGGGGGTAAGTGCCTCTCCATGTGATGCAGGCAACCAAATAGGTTGCAGCTGCTGCATATGAGGTGCATTTCATCAACCAAACTTGCTGGAGATGGACATGCAATGCAACTACTGTTGCAAACTTGTTTAGTTGCAAACAACGTTTGTGTTTTGCTCACCCCATTCAAATGTGGTGGCCTTACCACCACATGATCAGCACAACAGCAACATCACAACAACAGGCAACCAAGTGAAATCAAACATAGCAAGCAAGGAAATGACAGCAAACTACTTAATTACATAGCATAAGTCTAGATTAACAGCAGGGGCATCCTCCTTCCCTGCTCCATGCCAAGGTGCTGCTCCTGGCCAAAATATGAACAAGTTCCCAGCACAAGTCTTGCCACACACCATAAAAGTTCTCCACTAACACCTTACTTAACTTAACTGCATAGCCTGCTCGATGTTACCAACGCAATTATGCCTGCTGCAACGAAACCTGCACATGACCGAGGAATCGTGGTTGTAGATCTAAACCTTCAGTCCGAGTCCTGAGATGCGCACAACGACGAGGTCGCCAGGGACGATCCGGTGGCGGAGACAGAAGTAGTCCCAGCCCCGGCCAAGCACCATGTGCCCCTCGAAGTTCTGGACCTGCACCCAGAACACGCACCGCTTGTTCGCCGACAGCCTGACCATGCGCGGGAGCCGCTTGATGACCAGCCAGGTGTTCATCACCTCCACGAACTTGCGAGGGACGACGAGCATGGCGAGGTTCTGGTTGTCCTTGATCTGCTGGTAGAAGCGCATCGGATCCCTGGCCCCTCCTCATGGCCCTGCCTCGGAGATCGTCCCCTAGAACGAGACAGGCTCATGAAGGCGATCCTGCCAGGCAGGTCCACCATCCTGAGCCATCTATTCGTGGGGATGAAATCATCGGCGTGCTTAGCTCCGGCCACCACCTGAGCTCCTCCTCCCGCCACATCCCAGTCAGTCTTCAATATCTTGTCAGGTAAGATGACAAGTATTAGTGCACAAACTCTTTGTAAAATGTCACTGATCAAAGACATTTGCCCAAGAGCAAATGCCACTAATCAGTGCACAAACTCTTTGAGAAAATACCACTTATCAATGGCACTTGCTGCTAGGAAAATGGCACTGATCAGTGGTACTAATAAGTGGCAAATGCCACTTATCAATGACACTTGTTGGGCAAATGCCACTGATCAGTGGACTTGCCCAACAGCAAGTGTCATTGATAAGTGGCATTTTGTCCAACGGCAAGTGACATTGATAAGTGGGATTTGCCTATGGGGGCAAATGCCACTTATCAATGACACTTGTTGTTGGGCAAATGCCATTGATCAGTGGCACTGATCATGCTGCAACTGTCACTCATCGGTGCACTATCCTAAACATAAAAACATCTAAAAATAGCAACAGCAAGTGCCAATAGCACCCATGTGCAGCCATGCACATTTGGAAGCATCCTAAAATGGTCCTACTACATACGTACACATATAACATTCAACACAAACCTTAGCGTGTATATGTATATTAGCAATAGGAACAACAACATGAACATGATCCTAGCTTGAACATGAACATGCCATCAGTCAACATGATTCTAGCATTCATCAGTCAACATGAACATGCCATCAGTAAAACATTCATCTGTCAACATTAACATGATTCTAGCATCAACACATCTACTAGCATGAACACAAATCATAGGACACACTAGCAGTAGCACAAGAAAATTATCCTAGCACACACACTGTACAAAATAAGAACATATCGGTCCGATTAGATTCGATTAGGATCGCATCCAATCGGATCTGCTAGAATCCTATCTAATCCTATCGAATCCACTAGCTACTAGCACATGCCTAAGAAATAAACCCTTAATCTACATCTATGAGCAAGCATTGAGAGGGTTTGACTCACGAAGCACGCGCAGCCGCGGCGAACCGAGGCCGGGGTGAAAACCCCGACGAGAAGGAGAGAGGTGGCGGAGCAGAGGAGGAGCCGGCCCTGGCGACGGCCTGCGGCATCGGCCACGTGCTCATCGCCACGCCAGAGGTCGAGGAGCACGGCCCACCGACAGGAGAAAACCCTTGGACGGGGGTCAAGGAAACCCCTGTCCAATGGGGTCCCAAGAAGGGGCGGCTCCGTGGACGACGTCGGTGCCGAGCCCAGGACGAGGAGGTCCGGAATCGGCGGCGGAGCAGGAGCGGCCGGCACCGCATTGGCCGACGCTCGTGGTGGCCGGCATCAGATGGGGGACGACGCTCACAGCGCCGACGCCAGGTCGCGGCCCGAGTTCTGGAGCCTGGCCAGCCAGCGCTCCTAGATGTTGGCGATGCGCTGGTCGATGAGGGTCAGAGGACGACGCGGCGGTGGGCGTGGCGGAGCCGTCGGAGGAGAGGAGAGGGAGGGGCGGTGAGGGAGAGAGAGGGAGCAGTGGGAACAGTGCGACTGGGCGGTGACAGGAGAGTGGGGGGCGAGTTATGAGACGTTCCCTCCGTCTCCCGTGCTGCCCGAGGCGTGCAACTGCCCCACACGCGTGGCCACGCCCAACCAGGCTCGCGAGAAACTATCGATTCGGCAGTTTCCGTCGGGCCAGGCTGCCGGCTGCTTTAAGATCCATGCGGATTTCAAACTGCATGCAGCTCAGATAACCAAACAAGCCGCGCACATCACGTGCGGACCTGATTGGACTGCATGTGGGCAACCAAACACGTCTTATATGTCTCCATCTTCACATCTTCAACGTCTTTGTTTGTTTGTTTGTTTGTTTCATATACGAAGCGTGCAGCATACGTGCAGTAGTCACACTAACCGACGGGTAGCTAGCTAGCACGCGACACGGACCAGAGACATGCATGCCATCGACAGGGACGCCAGAACCAACCGTGTCCACCTTGCTCTGCATCCGGGCGGCTCGTCCGAGATCAAACGGCCGGCGAGAGCCGCGGCATCCGAGTCATTTCAATCAATCTTACTAAGAAGACGAGTGATCCGCCATTAAACCTACTTCCTTCGTCTTATAATATAAAATTATTTACAAGCTGTTTGGGATTATATAGTTTTTCTTCAAAAACTTTTGAATGTTTTTGGAATAGAAAATTATTGACTTGGAAATCTCAAACATCGATAAGTGTTTGTTTTCTTATTAAATATTTTTTTCCTGATTATGTGAAGGACAATTTTTTTTTCATCCGGGAGCAGCCGCATTTTAGAATTTCCTACCTTGTTCAGTGGTCATTGTTCTCACATCAGTTTGCGCAATGCAAAATTCATGTAGCTAGGAAACTGACAACAGACTCAGCTTGCTCCATCCAGAATAGCAAAAATGGTACGACTGACTTCCCCGCCGAAATAAAAAACTTGCCTCATGGATTAACTGTGAATCAGAATGTAACTCGCATGGCAGCTACGAACTTGTTGTACACATATACTCTGAATAAATATCTCCAGTAGCCTCTTATTTATAATTAAGCTGTTTGAAATTGGGTGTCGTCAGATCTCAGTCGACTGAGATTTAACTAAGTCTCACTCAAGTGATACAACATACAAAAAAAGATATAAAATTATAAAAGAAATTTTTGCATGGATCTCAAAGTAAAATTTAACGAATATAACATTAACTGAGACTTGGTTAAATCTCATTCAACTAAGATTTAACAATCCCGTTTGAAATTTTATTCAACCCCAAGTCATATACATTGAAGGTGCACATTTTGAAGAGTACAACTAATTATAGGTGGTCGACATCCAGGCAACTAAGAATCAACAGTACCAAAGAAGAATGCATGTTTGATTCATAAGCTCGAAAGCGTCCAGGCGCTGCATTTTTTGGCTTGATTACATGTAAGTTCACCCGTAAAAAAAGATTCCATGTAAAAAAATTGTGTGGAAGTTACTGCAGCAAAAAGATTTAATGGTCATGATAATTTAATCTGTGTGGATGAATATGGTGTCTTATTTGTCTCTTGTAATAATAATATAATAGATAATTTGTTAGCAACTCAGGCTCAGCTCCTGGTACATCGGCATACGTACGGATGTTTCGGGTGTGCATCAGACACTTCACTACAAGCAGAGAGCCCATCACATCCCAAAAGACAGGCCTGAAAGAAGTGTGGCACTCTCCCTTGAGGCATCTACAATGCCAACCACTTATACAGACGCTAACAGAACAAAAAATAAATAAAGATCATAAAATTAAAAAAAAATCATGTAAGGGCCCTAGCCTACAACGGAAGATGCTAATTTCGTGGGCTAACTAACACAGCCTGTGCACTTCGAGCATGCAGACCCAAGCACTTGATGTTTGGTCTTGGGCCCAGCTCTGATACTACTTGTTAGCAAACTAGACCCAGCTCCAGATACATTGGCATACGTTCGGACATTTCAGATACTCATCGGGCACTCCACTACAAGCGGAGAGTCCACCACATTGGAAAAGACTGGCTTGAAGAGAGTTTGGCACACTCCCTTATGAAAAGGTCCTAGCCTCCTCCTGTATCCGAGGTAGGACTAAAGTCATTGGTGTTGCCCCAAAGTCAGGTTCCTGACATAATGCAGCAGTAACCACACTGATTGCTAGCTAGCCAGGACACGCGACAGGGACCATGAGTTATGCATGCCATCGACAGGGATGGTCCGGGCCACTTGTCCGAGATCAAATGGCCTGAGCGAGCCATGGCATCCAATTTTTTTCCCCTTCTACTCCCTCTGTTTTAAAATATTTGTCGTTGTTTTAGCTTAAGTTCAATTTTAAACTAAAACCATGACAAGTATTTTGAGACGGATCGATGTAGTATTTTTTTTACATTGGGGAATTGTTCTTTGGGGGCAGGGAGCGGGTGCACTTTCTAATTTCCGCTCTTTGTTACTCAAAGTTGTCACAGAAGGTCGTGCAAAACAAACTTTGATGTGGCTAGCAGACCGAAAACAGAGTCATCTTGTTCCATCCAGAACAGCAAATATCATCCGAGGCAAAGACGAAAACACGTTTGGATTCATAAGCTCCAAAGCACCCACTTTAATTTCATTTGCTGGATTACAGGTAAGTTACTGCGACATAAAAGAAAATGGTAGTAACTTATTAGTAGCAGCACAGTAGGTAATCGACCACATGATCCACATTATAGCTGGCATGGTCTCTTATTGCTGGTCCATGATGCGTACGTATAGCACAAAGTTTAGAACGGTCCATCCATCATCACATGCTTGGCTTCACGTTAAGGCGGTTGGCCACCTTCATGCCGCACGACTTGTCACACTGCATCCATCCACAAATCACCGAGTTAATCATTCATCACCAACTGAAGAACATTGAGCGTACATCCATGGATTCATGCATCAACAATTAGTTACCTTGGAGAGGAAGTCGATCCAGATGACGCGGAGCTCGTGGCTGACCTTGGGGTGGGCGAGGGCGTCGGCGAAGCGGCGCACGAACCTGTCCTGGCGGTCGGGCGCCCAGCTGCGGTACCTCTCCCCGGGCTGCACGAAGTCGTTCTCCTTCTTGATCCTCGTCTTCTCCCTTTTCCCGACGACGGGCCTCGTCGGCACGGGGAAGCTGGCCGGCTCGGCCTGCCGGAGCGGCGCGTGGCGGGACGGGTAGTAGTCCACCTCCTCGTCGCGGTGCATGAAGTTCATGGCGCCGTCGTAGTGGTTGTTCTTGAAGCCGCACTTGGGCGCGTTGACGGGGAGCATCAGGTAGTTTGGGCCGAGGCGGTAGCGCTGCGTGTCGGCGTAGGCGAACACCCTGCACTGCAGCATCTTGTCGTCGGAGTAGTAGATCCCGGGCACGACGAGCCCCGGGCCGAAGGCCAGCTGCTCGTTCTCGTTGAAGAAGTTGTCGACGTTGCGGTCGAGCACGAGGCGGCCGACGGGCTGGAGGGGGACGAGGTCCTCGGGCCATGTCTTGGTGTCGTCGAGCGGGTCGAAGTCGAAGCGGTCCTCGTCGTCGGGGTCGATGACCTGCACGAACAGCTTCCACTCGGGGAAGTTGCCGGCGTCGATGGAGTCGTAGAGGTCCTGCGTGGCGTGGCTGTGGTTCTTGCCGCCGACGAGCGTGGCCTCGTCGTCCATGAGGCAGCTGACGCCGCAGGTGGGGCGCCAGTGGAACTTGACGTAGTGGGACTTGCCGGCACGGGAGACGAAGGTGTAGGTGTTGACCCCGAAGCCGTCCATGTGGCGGTAGTCGGTGGGGATGCCGACGTCGTCGAAGAGGAAGAAGAAGGTGTGGAGGCTCTCGGGGTGGTGGGAGAGGAAGTCGAAGACGCGCCAGTACTCCTGCACATGCGACTTGGGGTTGGGCTTGAAGGCGTGGATGACGTCGGGGAACTTGATGCCGTCGCGGATGAAGAAGACGGGGAAGTTGTTGCCGAGCAGGTCCCAGTTGCCCTCGCGCGTGTAGAACTTGACGGCGAACCCGCGCGGGTCACGGATCGTCTCCGGCGAGCCGCGCTCGTGGATCACCGTGGAAAAGCGGACGATGACCGGCGTGCGCGCCCCCGGCGCGCGGAGGAAGTCGGCGCAGGTCAAGCCCGTCACGTCGTGGGTGCACTCGAAGAAGCCCTTGGCGGAGGCGCCCCGCGCGTGCACCACCCGCTCCGGGATGCGCTCGCGCGCGAAGTGGGCGATCTTCTCCAGCAGGTGGTAGTCCTCCAGCAAGATCGGGCCGCGCGGGCCGACGGTGAGCGCCTCGTTGTCGTTCCACACCGGCTGGCCGGCGTTGGTCGTCGTCGTCTTGGTGTCGAAGCTGCTCGACGGCCGGAACTGCACGCCATGCACACGCACGCACACAGAGCTCGAAGTTAATTAATCAGCACACACGTACTATAATCGGTAGAATCTCTGTGAACGAATTAAGAACACCATGGACTGTAAAGTAGCATAGGATTAGTCTCTGATCGTGTCTGCTTACCTTGCAGGGATCCATCCTTCCTCTCTTGAGTGAGGTAGCTCCGCTAAGCTGGGGGGAGTGTGGCGAGCTCACTCACTCTCACTGCACTGCTCTCTGCTCTGCCTGAGCTCGCTCGAGCCGGTCTTAAATAACGGCGAGGGGTGAGGTGGCGTGACCGCCCGGCTGCCGCGACGAGGCTCTGACAGGTGGGGCATAGGACAGGCTGCAAGAGGACAAGCAGAGGATAAGGCGGTGTGGAAAAGTCTGTTGCCGGGACGGATGAAGATGGTGCACCGCATCACTCGTCGCTGCATCGTCATCCGGTTCCGTGCAAATACAAAACTGGCTGCTAAGCCTATGCCTGTGCGTGCATGTGCATGAATATCTCTTCTGCCTGATCCGTTGCAGTGTTGCACTCACCCACCGCGGCTCAATGCTAGGAATGCAGTGCAGGTCACTATTTTTGGAATGCAGTGTACGTAATTTACTCATTCTGTAAAGAAATATAAGATTGTTTAGATCACTAGAGGGAGTAGTGAAATTTGCGAGGGAATGCCGTGTGTGTGTGTGTGTAAAAATCGGTGATTCAGCTTAGCCATGGATAATGATAAGCTTGTCTAGCTAAGGTGTCCTTACGTGTCCCCGCATGTTAGATTTTTTTCGTCGGGAAAGTAAGTTTCTTGAGCCCAATTATGATCTTACATGAAAAATCACATTTGTTTTTACGGAAAGCAGCTCTTTTGGTGATACAAGCATGTTACAAGGATGCCTTCTCTTTTTATTCGCCAGGCGGAAACCATGTTGCATTGAAAAGAATAGCAAACAAATTTCTTTCACCAATGAATGAGAAAAAGCTGAAATAAACATGAGCAACGCTGAATTCCCGGTAATAACAAAATAATCGCGTGAAGCTCTTCCAAGGACAGACAAGAAAACTTAATATGCACCACACCCACCGTTGATTAGTGGCCTTTCCCCCACATTCTCGGTGCACAAAACAAGCGGGAACATTGGTGAGGAAACAACGGTGATTAGGGTTTTTTGCGCTAATTAACTCTTTGGTTGGACTTAAATTTGGTCGCATGTCATGATATTTAATAAACAAATCACATGGTGGTAGTGCTTGGTGACACGGTTAGTGATAATCAAGTCACCACGTGCCTCTCAGCTGACTTTTCCATACATATGGAGCCACTTAATTATCAACTACTACCTTCGTCCTGGTTTATTGGGCCCCTTTGAAATTTGTGCCAAATTTGACCTAATATTTAACAAATAAAATGTTAATGCATGTTAACAAAAATTATATCGCTGGATTTGTATTTAAACATAGTTTTCAATGCTATAATTTTTTCTGACATGCATAAACATTTTGTTAGTTAAATTTATGGTCAAAATTTGACACAGAATACAATGAGGACTAATAAACCAGGACATAGGTAGTAAGAATTAAACAATGCTAACTGATATGCATCTTTCAGAAAGTAGGAAAGCTATTTGTTGCAACGTGGCAAAATGTAGTTGTCCAATTACTCTAGCCCTATTACTTGTCTCGCAATGCCTGCTTTACCCAAACAAAAAAAAAGCAGGGGATGAGGAAAAGGAAGGGATCAAAGAAACTGATTGAAATGAACACTAGAAACACATCCACTTCATTAAAAAATCAACAAACACATCAAGTTTTCACACAGGAAACTTCATACGCAAGAT